TTATATTTAAATGTAACAAATGCCTACTAGTTCATTTGAATTTGCTAATGGGACTTAACCAGCGGGGAACTTATGATTTGCAAATAATGTAAGTCTAATATATTTTTATCTTTTCAGTGTAAATACAGCTGAACAAATCAGGCAAATATTAATTTACCCACCAGGAAAAGGGGGAATTCCAATAAATACAGAAGATTATATGTGTCTAGCACAAGATCAATTTTTAAACGATGTTATTATTGATTTTTATTTAAAATACTTAGTTCATGATACTTTAACAATCAGTCAGAGAGAAAAGACTCATATATTTAGTACATTTTTTTATAAGAGATTAACAACAAAGCCAAGTAAAGTGAATAAAAGTTCAAACCCCCTCGAGTGGGATAATAGTTTAACACCAGCTCAGAAACGGCATGCAAGAGTCAAGACATGGACAAAGAATGTGAATATCTTTGACAAAGACTTTATAGTAGTTCCTATTAATGAAAATTGCCATTGGTTTGTGGCTATCATATGTTTTCCTAGCTTAGAGGGCTGTCGTAGTATGATTGATAATAGAATTGTAATTCCACAAGCAACAAAAAGAAAAGGTAAGATTATCCTGGTAAGGTATTTATTTACCTGCATTTTATTATTACATAAATGAATTGATAATTCATTGAGCCACTCGGGCAACACTTTTCATTAGATTAGTTATTTCTTTATTTATGAATTATAATAATAAAAATTACACCTTTCATGCCCTGAATGCCATGAATAATCCAAGACTAATTAATAATTAAATCTATGGAAGAATATCCAGTTACCCATTACACACTAGTGTGTGCGCTTGTATGAATAGCAATCATGTGTTGTTGTTTTGTAAAATAAAATTATTCATTTCAGAACGAAAATCATCAATGCAAATCGGCAACACAACAATCACGCCTTTATCAAAACAGGAACAGCTCACATTAAATTGTGATTCTGATAATTTAAGTGAACGTGACGAAGCTGAGGCGGACGTAAGATTCAATTTAGATTTGTCTTAACCCTGTATATACACAAAACAAGTCATAATTGCTACAAGTAGTTGACTATGTGTCGAGTTTACTAACCATATGTTTCATAGAAAAAACATAGACAGGCAATTTAATTCTCCTGTATTTGAAACTTGTGAAAACAATAGTTGTGTTGAGTCATAGTCGTAGAGCTAACCACCTACTTTTCATATAAAAATAACCAATCAGACTTGCAGATATGTGTTAACACTACCCAGTGCGTACACAATCAAGTGCAATTTTTTAAAGTCAAGCTAATTAATTTTTAAATTTGAAAGTAAAACATTAAGTTTTATATTTGTTGTCAATTAAATGTTTCTTCTGCATTCAAATATTTTTCTAATTACATGTTTAGTGTTTCAATCTAAATAAAAAGTTATTTATACAAGGTAATTATTTTAACAATGATAATTTATTTAATTAGGAAAGTGACTTGGACATGCAATGTGACTCCGAAGAAGATGAAACAGAAAAACCAGTAGAGAAGAAACCAGAAGTACCTGTTGTCCGAAAAAATGAACCCATTAAACAGTGAGTAGCATTGTAGTGTTCTTAAAAAGATGTGCTAACCATTTCATATCATTAATTTGATCTATTGCATTAATTAATAATTTCATGTCATTTATTGGCTCTTGCTCATTATTTTTGAAACAATTTTTTTGTCATGCATTTGTATATGTATTTTTCCATTAAATAAGCTATAATTGCATCACAATTACATCATTTAATTTTATCTTACAGACCCTGCATTCTAATTTTTGATTCACTTGCTGGTGCTTCCCGATCAAGAGTTGTGGCTACATTGCGGGACTACCTCACTTGTGAATACCAAACTAAAGTAAGTAATTTTTACCCTCTGTGTATCATAATTTCAAAAAGTTAAATTCTTATACATTAAGAAAAGCAAAAGTGTTATTAAACCACTTTTAAACCCTATTAGGTTCTTCCAAATTTGAAAAGTCTAAAAGTTGTAAAAAAAAACAGCTATATAACCATTTTTCAACATAAAATATAAATTTTGTGTATAAATTTAACAAAATGGTAAAATTAATAACTTATCTAATAAACTCTTAAACTCTATTCTCACTATATTCAAACGCTTTTTGGTATGTTTTCTTATTTTTATTTTTTTTTCAGATATCTAAAAACAAAGTGTTCAACAAAGACAATATAAAAGGCAGTTGCCCAAAAATTCCCCAACAGAATAATTTTACAGACTGTGGCCTTTATTTACTACAATATGTTGAACAATTTTTTAAGGTAAATTATTCTACAAACTCCAATCACATTATATCAATTGGATTGTTACAAATGGAATGTATTCTAAAATGAAATTAATAAAAAAATCTGTATAATATGATTGATATATTACATTTATTGATATATGAACAAAATATTTATAATGTTCCTTAAACTATTTTTTTTTATCATAAAAATTTTTGTAAAAAAAATTACATGACAGTCATTAACTTCTAACCATTTAAGACATTGTATTATAATTTAATTTTCAGGACCCGGTGCTGGACTATAGTTTGCCAATAAAACAACTAGGAAATTGGTTTGATGAAATTGTTGTTACCAGGAAACGTGAAGAAATCTCGAATTTATTGAAATCCCTAATGAATACATATAATCCAGATTCGCATTTAAATCTACCTGATATCACATTCCCTACCTTGAATGGTAATTGTATATTATTTTACTTAAAGCTAGAGCTAATGTGATTTCCAACTGTTTCTCCCCATATCCCCTTATCCTCCCTATAGATAGTATATTGTATTAACAATTTAATTGGAATCTCCATCTCTTATAACAAATGTTTCCCTGGTGTTGTGGTATTTACATTTGTGTAAATTTTATTATATTCATAATCAATCAAATTGTTTTTACAGGAAAGTTAATTGAAACTGAAGAACATGCAGATGATGGTTCAGGCAGTGAAAAAAGCAGTTCAAGTAAAGAGCAAAAATGTGATGTTAGAAGCAGTGATGGGACTACAATTACTTTTGTGAAACAAATGGCAACAGGCGATATCCTTGTGAAGAGAAATTTTGCAGATTCAACTGAAACCTTACATTTACGAAAAGCTATAAGACTTTCGAGTGACTCTGAAAATAGATCTGTGTTGCCTTTTAAACAGAATTTAATTAAAAAAGGAGACCATGACAGCCAAGTATTAATACTTCACTCTGGTGATTTGGTGAAAGACATACAAAATACATTAATAGTGAATAAAAAAACAGTGGCTGATAAAAAGCATGGTGTACATAATCAAAATGTTTCAGTGAACTGTGTGCGACAAAGTGTTAGTGATAGTGACAACTCATTTCACAAAACGAGAAGAATAAATAAACTTGAGGATGTAATGCATGACTCTGTTAAGAAGTTTAAGAAGAATGAATGTTGAATACACATTGTCCAACCAATGTATTAAATTATTGTTAATTTAATAATATGTATAGAACCTAATTGTTTGACTTTTGTAAATATTAGTTAACACTATTTACTTAGTATTAGGTGATGTATACTTATGTTTTTATATATAGGGTTTTGACCCTATTGCCTTTTATTTGAGAAAGAACTATAGTTATTATCTCATTTTACGTAACAAATTGGCATCACATGTTAGCGATAAGTTAACATAAATTTCATTTGTGCTAAGTGTTAATTAAGTATTGAATACTCTATCACCAATGACTTAAATAAAATTATGGAACTATTTAACTATGTATATTATAAACATTAATTAAGATTCACTGCAGTGGCCTATAACAGAACAGTTAATTAGATGACGCATTATTTTACAAATTATAAATTAATTTAGGCCCAGAAAATTTTACTTTGGTTCATGTTTGATAGTGAAAGGAAAACATGTGATAAATTCTGATAGAAAATTGTATCAATATCTGATTTTCCATTAGTTATTACATAAATACTAATGATACACTTTCCTATTGGAATAATCTAAATTGTGAACAATCAAATCTAGAAAAAGCAGTTCTTTCTTAATTAAAAGTAGTAAAATGATACTATCAATATAATAACTGTAAAAAGCTACACTGAACATATTACAATTTAAATTTAGAAATTTATCTGTTTTTCTTTATGCCTTTATCTAAGAAATTACACTACCTATGATCACAGAGTTTTACACATCTATAGAGAATGATTGTTTCATTATACTGATTACTGCTCACTTTAAGCCGGCAATGCTTACATTAAACATACATTCCTATTTATATTAAGTCTTCTGAAATTTTAATTCAGACATATACAGGTTCCACTTATATCCCTTTTTAGTTGAGTGCCTTATAAATAGAAAATGTGTTTGTTGCCAAATGAAAACGAGTTTAGTAAATTTTGGATAAATATAAATGAGAACAGGGCTATTATTTAAGCTACTTCAAGACCAACGGTTTTAGCCATAAATCAGTAATGTAATAAGCGATAATATAACGCTCATATAGGAATGTAGGCTCGCTATTGTGACTCGATAATCCTATAGATCAGTGATTTTTTAAGGACTGAAGTTGCAACAAGTCGGCAAGTAAATTTTTAATCTTGAATCAAAAGACTTCTATTTTGACTTCCTCCGGCACTAAGCCAAATTTTATGAAAGTTCACATAATTGATGATTATAGTAATTAAATTTAAATTTCGAGTCGAAAGTTTTATAATCTATGTTGTATCAACAATGTCATGGTCAAATCTTAACTGTCACTGTCAAATGCATAATTTACATTTCAAAAGTGAAAATAAATTTGTAGGCTGAGCCTGAATCCCATATTTAGCTTTTTAGTTATTGCTATACCAATAATAAATAAAAGTTGTTTCTTTATATTAAAGTGCGATATACTATTTAAACAATATATAACCATATAAGAAGTCTACCTATATTAATTACAATTTACAATCTAAGTGATCACATTTCAAATCGAGAAGTTTTTGAAAACAACAACAATGACTGAATCAACAGCAACGCCAATTGAAGGATGGTCAAAGGAGGAGAAATTTAACTTATTGCGCGCTATAAGAGAATTCGGTTCTCAGGACATTGAAAAGATACAAGGTTTTATGTTTAGCAAAAGTTGTGAAGAAATATCTGGAGCTATAGAATATTACAGATCCAAAGCTTTTCAAAATCCTAACGTCAAAAAAAAAAGAGAGAAGCGGAAGTTAAATACTTCTACTACACCCTTAGGGCGTTGGGCTTCAGCTCTAATGGATAATAAGGGTTATGAAGAATTAAGAACGGACATATCAACTGCTCTTAGGTTGGTGGCTGAGTTTGAAGAAAGGTCTCCAAAAACTTGCACAGAGCAGTATAATTTTGGAGCAGTATACCAAGCATTGGCAAATGCTTTAGATGGGAGAGTATTGTCTGATGACCAAAAAGTAAATGCTTTGATAGAGAAATGTTTAATTGATACAGCCGTTTTTAGCAAAGCATTTAAAACAACTGGTTTTGTCAAGGATGTGATTAAGGATATAAATTTGACTGAATGTATAGAAGATATAGTGGTTCTAAAGGCAAGTGATGACAGTGACCTTGCAAACATAAGACATATAATTAGTCACAAAGCATATAATCCTTTGAATATATCTATAAATGATCTTCAGTGTGGTAAAAAATAATATAAGTACACAATTTCATACATTATTTAAACATAGTATATAAATTTTTTGGAAACTGATTTTGTTTTTATTATAAAAACAGGCCATATTGCACAAATACACAATTAAATATCAATCAAGTATTATTATTAAAAGCAATCGAAACATTTATGATGTGTTTAACCATTCAATAAACTTATTAAATATTCTTATTGCTACATTCATAACTCTTTCCCAGAAGCCAGGTTCTTCTTGTGCTTTAACAGGTGGAGGGAATTCTTCACTCAAATCTTCTATTTCCCTTCTATGCCTGATCCAACTTTTATTTTCATCAGCACCACCTACAATTTTGTAAAAGTATTTATTGAACTTTAAGACTGTAATGTAGATCTGTTTAATCTAATTTTTAAGAAGCTGAACCTGAAAACTATATCTTAGAATATCTATCTAGAAAAGTGTAGCGGTTTAGTTAACTAGAATATATTTTTTTATCTCCTTGTATAAAAGACACATAATATAGCAAAGATACTCAGAATTCGCGAAGCCCATGTCGTAAGCTACGGAAATAGTTAACATGATATCTAATTGGATAATAAATGGGTGTTTTGTATAAAAATTGCTTGGAAAACAATCGTTAGTTGTTACTTAAAGAGCTTTTTATCTAGGTTTTGTTAATGAACTAAGTTGAGAAATTATTAGGTTCTACCTTATACGACATTTTTGTTGGATATTTTTTAATGGAATTCGCTTTAGGTCTGAGGGGACTAGACACAGCTTGGCATTGGACTGTTAAGCTTGTTAGTCTGTAATGAACGGTTTTCCCACGACTGGGGCAAGGCATCTTATGCGAGACTCGGACCTTTGCTTGGGCCGTCATGAGAGGGACAGGACCGCCTGCAGGGCCGGATGGAAGCTCACTAGAATGAGCGAATCTATATATTATGATACATAGCTAATAAAAATTATTACTTACTAGAAGATTCATAAGCTGATATCTGAAAACATATAAAATTATAAATAGTATAAATTCTTTATCCTCGGAGCCTGTTTTTTATGAGGACAGTATTATACCAATGAAAATTTTGATACCATATTTAATTTACAATAAACGTGTAAAACTATATGATATATCATAACTATTTATTTTTTATGGTCCAGGTTCGACTCCCAGAGACAGAAACGTCGTTACGATAAATAAATTGGTTTGTAGAAAGTAGCTTTTTTAAGATTTGTTATTAACTTATCCTCGACTAGACCATACCCATCAAAAGTGGCAAGTTTATTGCCAATTCTTGATTTAAGAAGTAGTAAATGTACTTGAATTTCAAGGCCAAAGAATCATTTAATTTTTTTTAAATTCATAAGTGTTCATAATGCAGTTAAAATATCTTGGGGATGCTTGTTAATTAAGAAAAATATAAACCTACCTGAAACGCTATACACATCGAAAAGCCAAGTACGAGTCCGAAAATAACAGTTCTGTGCAACATTGTGGATGTTATCACCTCGGCTATACGATAGAAGTCCATTTGGCATTGAACTTGCGTTTTATAGGAAGGCGTGGTGGCTAGCGGAAATCATGTTGGTAATTGCAGTTAGCCATTGTGATGACAAGATTATGTCTTCAATGTAAAAAGTTAATTCTGTTCATCTAAACGATATACCGCATATCGTGTAAGCCTCCTTTAAATCGAAATATGGCCGGCTTGGGATCCAATTCCGGTAAACACTAGACGGCTGATTATGTAGCTATTTGACTTAAAAATAATAATAAATTTCTAACGTAAAAAGTTGTGAGATCCCTGTGATACCAAGTCGGTTGGCCTAGTGGCTTCAGCGTGCCACTCTCATCTCTGAGGTCGTAGGTTCGAGTCCCGACTGTGCACCAAAGGAATTTCTTTCTATGTGTGCATTAAGATTCGCTCGAACGGTGAAGGAAACATCGTGAGGAAACCGGCTTGCCTTAGACCCAAAAAGTCGACGGCGTGGGTCAGACACAGGAGGCTGATCACGTACTTGTCTATTAGATAGCCAAATAATCATTAATCAGATACAGAAATCTGAGGCCCAAACCAAAAATGGTTGTAGCGTCTCTGATTATTTTTTATTTTACCTATGGGACCTTCTGTCTTAAGTTATTACGTAATTACCTAACCCAAAGTCATCTTATAGTGACCATATCAATATTAACTATCTTTTATTTTTTAAATAACGACAGTGACTTGGCTATCGCATGAAAAACACAATGTATCTTACAAATAAAATATAATATATTGTTTAGAACGATTGCCAAACGAAAACCGGACCGCAATTGCAATATATTATAGACTTTGTCTGCTAGAAGTGCCTTATAGTTTTGATAATCGGCCAGTCAGTGAGTGACAAAATTAAGAAACTTTGACTAGTAATAATTCTCTGAAATTTGAAATATACCGTGTTTCTATAATGCATGCTTGGTAACTGAATATTCAGACTCTCACTTTTTATACGAAACGAGAGAGTATAAAATGTCCTGAAATGCTTCGAGAAAAGGAGGGTTCCGCCGCGCCGTGGCGCTTTTTGCTCAATTTGGCGGGCGCACTGCAGATAAGAAATTACCGTCGACGAAGAAGTGATGCATGCTTTAAAATCCTATATACAATAAAGTATGATGTTTTTGACAGTACTTGATAAAAAGTATTGTATTTGTGTCTTCTATTTAACGGTGTGTAAATAAATCGATAGGTAATTCAAATGCGGATGCGGGCAGTGAAGGGTTAAAATTCTGTGAAGCTGCATAATGGATATTAAAATAGAGTTTGTGTGACCTTTGTTACACACGACAGCTTCAGCACAATAGCACCTAGCCTAATCATTGTATGTAGCCACTACTATCAAATTAACAATTTATTTACTAAATTACTATTATTGACACATTGGTAATGTGTCCATGTGGTAATGTGTCATATTCCAACCCATAGACCAGGAGGAATGGCATTTACTGTATGTACTTCATTATAGACCTGGCCTCCTGGGGGCTTAGTCAAGATGCCTTAACCCTTAATCAAATACTGGGAAATGAAAGAGGGATGTAGTGTATGTAGAAAGTTGAATTTGTATGAAAATGACACATAACCACTATGACTTGATGTTGTTACAGTTGCAAATTATATATAAAATTAGCAAACTCGGCGAACTCCGTTTCGCCACCAGATGGCTTCGTTTTATGTAACATTTCGTTTGGTGATCCCGCTTTTCTGTTGAAATATATATATAGCTATATATATATATATATATAGCTATAGCCCGAGACCTTTTCAACGAATGCAAAACCGTGGAAATCGGTTCGTGCGTTCTGGAGTTATAGCGTCAGGAAGGAAAACCCGACTTATTTTTATATAGTAGATTTAAGGTAAATTTGTCGAATCACGAGTTATGTAACCTAACATATAGTTAATATAATATTTTAGTTAATAATTAGAAGCGTAAGCAATCTTCGCACACTTGAAGCCAATATGAGCCCTTTAGTTTTTATCACACTCATAAATTATAATTTAGCATTCTCGTTTCCGATAATGTCCAATAACACACATAATATAAGTGTCACTTAGATTTACAAACTCTTCAATAAGTCAAGTTAATTTTTGAAGTTATAGGTACTTCTTTAGGCGCGTTATGAAAAATTGATGAGAGTGAAATTTTACGATGCGCGCGCACCGTGACACAAAATTAACAGAATGAAGTTGCCCACGGAAGATGCTACGGCATAATTTAAAAACAACATTCGAATAATAATATAATTTATGTTACACTTAATGTATTTATTTATTTAATTTTACGAATGTAAACTGAACTTTATTGACTATAATGACTCCTTTTCCAGTCTTTGATTATTTAATTATTTGCATGCAATCAAAAACTATTTTTAATAATGCCAAAGAAGTATAACTTCTTACGCGCGTACATAAGTACACGCACCCTTTCTTTTTGCAAACGGACATCATGAGGCACATCTGATGTTAAGTAATACCGCCACTGATGGACACTCGCATTGCCAGAAGGCTCGCGAGTGCGTTGCCGGCCTTTTCAGAATTTTGTACTAGATCAGCAAATGTCAGCTTTTATAAATATTTATTTAATTAAATTCTAAACATTTTTTATGAAATATATAAACATATTCTTAAAAATCTTGCCATAGGCGCGTCATGGTTGCTTGCAAAAAAATTTGGAGCTGTTTTACGGTGGAGCCGTGAATTTTTACCTTATTTACCATATTCTATGTGTACAGACATTTCTAATGCAATAGAACTACACAAAGATACCATTACCTGCCTGTGCTGATGCAAGGTCCTAAGAGGTCTATTCTTATCATATTCATGTATACAATCAGGTGCCAAAATTAAACCATGCTATGTATGTAAAATAACTTTATTAGTATAATAAATCTAACTATTAACTACTTTTTTGATGCGCCAAATCCTGAGAATCCCATAATCTGTGCAAGCTCAGATTGGGCGGGACCGTCATCATTATCGTCATCGTCTTGTACCTTGCGTTTCTTATCACGACGGCGTTCCCGCCTTAACTCTTTCAGCCTTGCTTCCTCCTCTGCTGCTTCTTTTAGCCGAGTGTCCAGTTCATATTCTTTCTTTTTTTCTTCTAATTTACGCTTATTGAGTGCAAACCGCGATTTTACCTGTAAGTAATAAATTTATCTTTATAGTTTTTAAACCAAGGCAAGCTATTATAGTAGAGGTTTACATTTACTCTACTCTCCCTATTACATAACTATCATATCAGACATGCAAATCATGCACAGAATCTGTATTTAAGCATTGCTAATATGATTTAGTGCTGCAAAATACTATAGTAGGAGAGCTGGCACCAATTTTTGGGCAGGTATTTGAGGCAAGCTGAAAACTTGTCACATACCTCTCCTATTATATTCCAACACGGAATTGCAGACCTGGCTGGTGAGTAGCGGGGCTAAATCAACCCCTACATTTTTTAAAATATTAATTTTTTTTCCCCAAAAATATATTTGAGGCAATACGCAATTTATATATGTTGCAGTGTAATACTTAATAAATACGAAAAAAAATAAGCCAGACAATTTAATCGGGGCTGTAACATTACCAGACGCGTGCAAATATTTTTTCAAAAAATTATAAAAAATGTTTTTGAGGCAGCTTGAAATTTTAATGGAGTGTTATTTATAACTATAAAATAAAATTCCCAAAAAGACAGATCATTTCGATAGGGCTTTCTACCTGCCAGGCGATCAAACAAATAATGGATGGGTACGGGCCTGTACTACTATAGACAAGCTGTAGTGTGAGAGAGAGCGCATATCGACAGCTGTCTTCGTTCTTGCTTGCCGCGTTACTATTGGCTTTAGCGAGGCCACGTGACTTACAATAACCCATGAGGTTTCTAGTTAGAATTTCGGAGTCGTTACTTTCAGTCGTATTATTCTACTAATGGTATTACACGTTTTAAAACTCAAATAATTAGAAAATGTCTAGTGAAAAGTTAGTTTGTGTTATTTGTAAAAAAAATGATGCTAAAGTGATTGCTTTTGTGGAGAAAACTCTCAAAAAAAGTCAGGAGGTGTTAAAGATCCGTAAACATCATGGGTTAAAATATAATGATATTGTTTTGCCAGTGATTCCTAACCTTTCAGATGGTTATCACACAAGTTGTTATAAGAATTTTATTTTATATTTTACAGGTGAGAATAAATGGTTTATTTTTAATAACTGCTGCATTCAAATTTCTGTGATTAATTAAAAAAATAAATATATATAAAGTTATGTTTATTATTATATAAATTTATAATAATAAACATAACTTTAATCCGGTAAAAAGCGTTTTTCTTTAAAAATAAATATATTTCTTTTCGCAGATGATGAAGAGGTTGCCGAATCTGATACAGATGAATCCGAAGATTCAAGTAGTTCTGATGAAGATTCTGATCCACAGACGAAGAATGATAATTTATATCTGACGTGAAACGAATTTAATTTATTTCTAATTTTTTTATACTTAAATAATTGAAACACTGAAGAAATATTATATTTTTATAAATAGAAACTATTTGCGATTTTATATTTTAATCATTGGTTTTTTTTATACGTTACCCTTATTAATTTTAAGATGAAAAAGGTTTTAAATTTCCGTATAAATTTTGACTTGGAATAATGTCAGAGAAACAATTTTTAGTTTTGAATGTAGGGGCAACAGTATGAATTCTGTACTGAAAAAAAATTTTTTTTTAAATTCTCTTCAAAAAATAAATATTTTTACGGAAATATCAAATATTTAAACAATTCATTACGTTTAAATTCGCATTAAAATTGGCAAAATGGCTAATTTTTTAAGATAAAAAAGAAATCACAAAAATATGTCCCTTTAACGTCCATAAATCAATACAATCACTTTTATGCAAAATGTATTTAGTACAAATTCAGAAAATTTTATATTTTTTACTCCGAAATTCTAACTAGAAACCTCATGGGTTATTGTAAGTCACGTGGCCTCGCTAAAGCCAATAGTAACGCGGCAAGCAAGAACGAAGACAGCTGTCGATATGCGCTCTCTCTCACACTACAGCTTGTCTATAGTAGTACAGGCCCGTACCCATCCATTATTTGTTTGATCGCCTGGCAGGTAGAAAGCCCTATCGAAATGATCTGTCTTTTTGGGAATTTTATTTTATAGTTATAAATAACACTCCATTAAAATTTCAAGCTGCCTCAAAAACATTTTTTATAATTTTTTGAAAAAATATTTGCACGCGTCTGGTAATGTTACAGCCCCGATTAAATTGTCTGGCTTATTTTTTTTCGTATTTATTAAGTATTACACTGCAACATATATAAATTGCGTATTGCCTCAAATATATTTTTGGGAAAAAAAAATTAATATTTAAAAAAATGTAGGGGTTGATTTAGCCCCGCTACTCACCAGCCAGGTCTGCAATTCCGTGTTGGAATATAATAGGAGAGGTATGTGACAAGTTTTCAGCTTGCCTCAAATACCTGCCCAAAAATTGGTGCCAGCTCTCGGACCACTAGTAATATTACTAAAGTAAAAAAATACAATGGAATTATATTACAGTGTAAACTCCATGTAATGTCCTTACGACAAAAACCCTCGTCGTTTACAAAAACGTCGAAATCACTCGGCTTTGGTTGGTTTAGCTTGTCTTCCATACAATGATTGCACTCTGCATAGCATTACCACCCTCAATAACGACATTTAAATAATACAAAGCAAACTCCGGAGCTGTTTACGTTCTTATGTCGCTGTATTGTCCTAGCCCGTAATAAACTCAACTATCTCCATCATATGTACCAAACTTTCTAAGAAATTCGATCTATTGTTTACAAATTGGGATTGCTTGCATGTGCTTTATCACGAAGATGCCTCAATATCGCAAAATGAATAAAATAAGTAAAAAAATACAACATAATTACTAAGTGCAGCCAAAGACGTCAGACGAAAATAATAGACTATATGCAATAGCGTTCAAATAAGAATTGTTTTTTTATGTAATTACTCTCACTAGTCTGAAATAAACTTTTTCTAAAAAGATTTTTCTTCATTCCATTTAACGACAATTCTTTGTAACAACACAGACCCTTAGAGTTTTTCTATAGAGTTTACACTGTATATTATGTTTTAGCCCTTTAGAGATTAGAACTTGGGAATAATTTAGAGACAAAAACTAGACTTATGAGCTAAGCAATCAATGACAAAGATTTATACCAAAAAACTACTATGGGTGTAACAAATGATGATATTTTTGTCAGCTAATGTCATGCCTTTGCGATAAATGACTAGTTGTTTGCCATCCGCAGAGGCATACCTTATGATAGAGATAAAAAAAGGTTTATTATTCAAATTTTTACATTCAAATAGCAAATATTAATCACCTGATCTAGTGAGCTCCGTTCAATCTTCATTGACATTCCAAGATTTCTTTGATGTTTCTTGCCATTGATGTGATCAAGAAAGTTGATTGAGTCCTTAACAACACAATCACAGACATTACAGTAATAACCACCAGATTGTGCAGTTGGTGTATTCTTTGTAATTACTACACTTTTTCCTAGTTTAGAATCTAAGTCTACTTTGTACTCCCGTTGCTTCAAAAGCTCTCTCTTAACAGGTGGCGCTGAAATGGTAAAAATGTATATAATTTTTTTGGAATACTGATAGATACCTCATAAGTAGAATTATGAATAAGAATACTAGTGCCATGATTTGTATAAATGTATGCAATAGAACTCCGGGGATGTTCAAAATACTCTTCTGACTTATAGCTAACTTAGAGCTAATTATTCGCGTAGGTAAGGTTAATCACAGATTTAGGGTATTTGCGGTAAGTGGTAGGTTTTCGGTTGTTGAAGGCAAGAGGTTAACAAAATATATTTAGGTTTATACCTTTTTTCTTTGACTGCTCTTCTTCCTCTAATTCTGCTTGTAACCGTTCGGCAGCGATTTTTTCGAATTCATCTTTGTCCCACTTCCTTCGGTGATCATCTGGCCTCATACTCATCTTGCTATTTTGTATATTTTCCGAAATGTAATTGGATGTTAAGTAATGATATGGACGTACAATATACTTATTGCTTCCGGTTGCACAGTAAATATAAATATTTGATATTAATTAACTACAACTTTTATGTTGTATTTACATTTTTACATTGACATTTGACATGCAGGATTTCATCATTCATGGCATTTATAATCGCGCCATGTCTTTCACCAGAACCAAAGATTATATTATGCAATTAACGCTGTGGTTCGTGTTTATTACGCTATTTTGACATATCTATGTTTAGGGAGTTCGCCGTATTAATAAGTTAAGTGTAAATCATTTCTGATACCATAATTTAGAGTAATTACAGTCGAAATAAATACTACAACAATGTAGGGCTTTCAACGTTATCGAATAAATATTTCTTATCATACAATTTCTCTGCTATCAAGTACTGTGGTGACAAACTTACAGGTAGAGACATAACATAATTGTTTGTCCTACTCACTTTAATACATATTTTAAATTGCACTAGTATCTTTAAGTAAATAATTATTATGACTTATCTGATTATTATGACTGATCAGACAGTTGAATTTTTAGGTTCTCAATTAAATATAAAATGTAAAACATTACATGTTCTAGGAAAACAATTAATCATCGCCAGTATTGTTGTTGACCGATGGTTGAGACACTAGATGATTTTTTCCTTTCTAAGATTTCATGTAATTTTAATTATTTTAATCTATTCGGCAATCACCGAATTCGATTATTCGACTTTCATCATTCGTGGTTATAATAAAAAAATGTAGTTTCTGGGACTAACATAAATTCTACGATGAAATGAGATTATTTTTGCAGTCATTATTACCGCCATAATTATCACCTGAAACATAATCGATAGGAGTTTAGGATCGTGCATTATCCTCTCTGAATATAACATAGCTAGAAAAATACTGTAAGAGGGAACTGAAAATGTTTACAACAAACAATACGTTTTACAAAATTCAAACAATACCTACGTTGTTAAGAGGGAATGTTTTTAAATTGCGTTACGAACCAATTTGGCATTTACGGACTGTAAAAATTAATGTGCCCAGCCTGCGTATTGGGTCATAAATTCAGATTGAGTCTTTTATCAAAATGTATTAACCTGTCAAATCCGTCCTTGAAAAAAATAAATACGATTAGCTTGTATATTACAAGTAGGTTTAATGCCCGCATCATTATATTCTGGAACACACTAAATAATAAAAGTTACATAAAAATATATTGGTACAGCGTGAATTATTAGTTAAAAATATTTAAATCAAGTTTTGGTGAGTTCAAATAAAGAAACGTTAGAACTGATATCACTTAAATAGGTATAAATGTGTTTCGCAAATAAATATTTTTTAAACTTAATATTTCTTTTTAGTTTTTTCCTTACTTACTTTTAGGGTTGTCTGGAAAAGATGGCTTGTTAGCGATAAGGCTGCATTGCATACCTTATAATTTTTATATTTTTCTTTTAATGTAACGAAGTAAAAATAAATAAATAAATACAGCGAGTAAAAAAATGCATGAAGAATACATGAGGTTAAAGATGTTTGGTTGTGATTGATTCAGAAATTTTGCTGTCTGACACCCGTTAAAAATGCACCCGTTAGAAACGTAGAATAGGGCGAAAGATAAAATGTTTGAAAACATTTTTATCTTGTTACGCCAAAGAAGTATTAACGCGTCTACATAAGTACCCACACGTGTTTTATAATACATGGTGGTTTCAAGATGTTTCATTCACGGCAAGGGCAATGTGGATACTTAAGGAGAGAGCCAGGCCAGAAGAAGTAGGAAAAGTATGAGTTATTTAAAGCTTTGTCTTCACTGACTTCACTTCACTTTTTTGACAAATTTATTATTAAAACAAAGGGATTTTTTCGCTTACATTCAAGGCTGCTAGCCATCCTCCGGCGACGCTCCAGTCTAGAGATATTTGCGCTTATAGAAAATAAATTGGTTTACAACGCTCGACCAAAGGTAAAGAATTACGCTTCACTAAATTATCTATGGTATAAAGTATAATACGTCTTATGAGAAATCTGAATTCATAATAGGATTGACAGTGATAAATGAAAAAATCCCATTTATAAAAGTACGTGGCGCGATTAATGCCGCCTTCCGGTAAATCGTAATACATCTCAGCTTAGACGTAATAAACATACTTCAATTTCTGACGCGGTGGTTTTGTTTCTTTTTATAAGATATTCTTAACCTACATAGTAATAATAAAAAATTGATAAATAGAAAATTAAACAAATTTTAAAAGTATGGTCCCTGTGGCAGTGTACCTTTAATGCTGGCAGCATTCCCTTTCTGTATTGCGATACTTATTCGTTATTCTAAGATTAGTTTGTAGACTGGAAATATACCGAACATTTAATGCATGTTGACAGTCTTTAGCGATGATTTTTTTTCTTAATACACAGTAAAAATATATAACTAAGATAAAACTAAGTAGAATTCATGACAAATATTTCAGATCTTTATTGATATATTGCTCGATGATATTTAGATACAACGGATGTAATATTTATCAATTGCTTATAATTGATTTATAATGTAATTTTACAGAGTGGGATGCTATATTTTTTATATTAATTAACACTTCATTACAAGTATACAGAAATATAGTACAATTAAAATAATTAAATTAAAAGGAGAGCATCTGGCGGTCTTATCGCTTCTAAGCGATGTCTTCCAGACACACATTTTTATACAGAACTGGACAGACGGTCACAATATCATCTAAGATACCTGTCATGTGAGATGCGGCCTATTGGAGAGCACGACTGTCCTTCTTCAGTCACACTCTTCATATCTGAACCTCGTGTTAGTGGCGCCGCACAACTTCCTTCACTGTCTTCCGCAAGCCTGGGGGGCCATGACTGTCCAGGAAATTCCTGTATAGCCGCCATCTGAATGAATATGTTATATAATTGGAAAAATTGAAGGGGTTGCAAGGAGTTCCACTTCTTTGTTGTTTTCACAAGTAGGTCAGCCTCCTGTGCCTGACACACGCCGTCGACTTTTTGGGCCTAAAAAATGTCGGTTTCCTCACAATGTTTTCCGTCACAGTTCAAGCGAATAATAAATGCGCACATAGAAAGAAAACCCATTGGTGCACAGACGGGGAACGAATCTACGACCTCCGGAATGAGAGTCGCACGCTGAAGCTACTAGCACTGCTCCTAAGAGCGCGGCCACATGATACGGTAACGGTGCGGTGCGGCGCCGAAGCGGTGCCGCATCGTCATCCTACATACACATTACTATACCATGTCACACGACGCGTTGCGCCGCAAGCGCGCCGGAGTTATGACCTGCGAGACGAGGCGGGGGAGGGTAAAATATATTGCCACATCGCAACGCCAGTATGGCAATCTATAAGTATCAAGTAATTGCTGTGCGGCGCCGCATCGTGTGGCCGCGCTAGAAGGCCGTTTCTCCACCGCACGCCCGTCACCCGAGCGCCGGCCGTCCCGGCGGCCGATGTTTCGAGTAGTTGAAATAATCTCGTTCTCGGTGACGTCCCGGTGACGGCGGTGGTGGACAAAAGGCCTAAAAGTCCTAAACGTTTTGCTTTATCAGTTATTTGTGTTCGATTATTTATTCCTCCCTTGTTTATTATCGGTCTTACTAATAAAGAATTATGCACATCGTATAAGCCTGTTATAAGAAAAATGTTACTAATAATTCCTGAATTGACACGTTTGATGTATACGGCTGTTATAACAAGTGTCTGGTTTGTATGAAGACTTGTACAATGCTTATACAACGCCGAGGCCTAGTTTAACGGGTGTATAGGACATAAATTGCGTTATTTGATCTGATTTCGCGTTTGACAGCATTTTTTGACTGTTTAGTTCAAGGAAAGATTTAAGTTAGTAGGTATTTGTGTTTGTTGAAAATAGATTTTATAGATCAAATGGAAGATTTTGATAATATTGATATGCAGCTAATACATACGATTGAAGATTTGCCGCCTCCAAGGAAAGTCAAAACATACCAAACTCGGTGCAATCCGTTATTACTTTCGGATGGCGATTTCAAAACAAAATACCGCTTTTCAAAGAAGTATGTTATGAAGATCTGTGACAGTGCGAGCTGATGTCGAAAAGAGTAATAGAGGTGGATGGTTTTCGATTTAGGTGTCTTCTTCATGGCTTCTCAGTGTCTTTAGAAAATGCCAAATTATATATAGTAGCACTGGCAATCCTCCACAATATTGCTATTGATATGAAAGAAGACCTGGATGTTACGTATGATGACACTGAGAATGCTCCAGAAGAACCAAGGCCAACCTAGACGCCCCCAAGCAATCAGGCTGGACAAGCTGCTAGAGCTGCTTTTATTGAAACATATTTTTAAAGCTGTTTTATTTACATAGGTGTGGATAGTTAGACGTGAAATAAATAAAAAGTTATATTTCATTTAAAACAGGGGTTTTATTTTTTTTATATTGCTGCTGTAATAGTTTGAGCCTTAGAAGATGCTCCTGTCTAGCCCATTTGTGAGCTTCGGCAAGTTGCTTCTGTTTGAGCTCATGTGTTTCAGCCATTTGCCTTAGTTTGGTTTCATGCTCTTCCTGCAAACACAGGAACACTGCCGTGTTGCGGAGTTTGGCACTTTCCACTATTTGAGATGCCTAAAAAATTTAAGTATGATCGTTGAGGGCTTTTGAATGAAATAGTCCTTTTCTCTATCACATTGATACTAACCTCTCCCAACTTTTGTACTGCAGAACGTGGCTTTTTATGTAAAATTCTAGTCCTCTTTGTCTGAATATAATTGTTTTGGTTGCTAAAATAAATACAACTGATAGAATTATGACTTCTATCAGAATTATTAAGTCAAACGTCAATCAAACACGGCGGGTTGCCAGGGTAACAATAAATAAGGGTCGTTTAGTTATTCAACCAATACACATCGATTATTGGTCAAAGAGGTGTTTATGCCCTGTACAAGCTCTATTCACT